GTAAGAATTCAAACATTGATAATACCAGTGATTAGTTTAAGAAATCATACCATTATCTATCATGATGTTACAAGCAGTATATGGTAATACAGCATGTACTAAGTACCTAACACATGTACATATGTACCTGAACACAGTTGATATGACTAATGTCAGTTAATAATGTATTATATTTAGATACCTTACAGTTAAGAATGACAAAGAGTGGTGGCTCCAATTAGTGAACATTCATACAGTATTGTAACTGGAGCTATGGCAAGTCTACACATCAAAGGCCCTTCACTGGTTTCTGTTAATTACATACTTTGTGGCTTCTATGATGATATAAAAGTGGCAGACAGTAAGAGCTGAATTCATTGTAACAGAGAAGCAGCTAAAATGAGATCGGTACTTCTAACAGGATTCATACTAGTAAGATACAATATATATGATAGTGTATGGTACTATCTTTACAGGTTATACTGAGTGCATGTTATACAAATGGACTAACATTGAATGACTTGTACCCATACGGTACAGAAAATGGGGACACCATGAGGACTGGAGCTAATAATCTCCCTCGAGTATCAATACAGCCTCCAATTGATAACTTCATTAGATTTGGTCCAGCTGGACTTACAGTAGCAAGATATCAAGTTAGTAGCCACACACACACACACACACACGCACACACACACACACACATTATTAGTGCTTTAGTTTGTAATGTAGTGCAATTGTACACTAACCATTATCTGTTCATTTTATAAGTAACACAATTTATTGATCATTTCTCAGTTCATAATATTTCCTTATACTATTTATAGGTTTATCATAGAGGGTTCCTGGCAATTATAGGTGTTAATGCTAATAATTACATCTATCTCAATTTGCTCTACATTTCATCAGTTGATTTTTCCAATACTAAGATATATGGTAGGACTACTACTGATCCAGGATTAATAAACAGAGCAATGAATCAGATTAATGAAGGATTTCCTAATACTTTCTGCAGTACATCTCCTCCTACACAATTAATAATAGGAACATGGATAGATTATGGAAAAGATAACTCAAACTCAGTTAGTATATTAATTACTTAATACTGTTAATAATAGCTAGGCACACACTAATCACTTTATTTATTATTTTAGGGCAGTAACTTTCAAGTAATAATTGTGACTAATGGAAGCAATACATTTGGTATTGCACTTTATGTCAATGTACACCTTACATCAGTTGAAGATACTGGAATAGAGTCGGACATTAGTGATGATTATGATTCAGCTGATCCATCTTTCTTTCCATTTGGTACTACAGTCATGAATGCTCCTACTATGATGCTTAATAGCAACATACCAGGGACATATATATTTTCTCTGAATCATGTATCACCAGGTATGACTATAGTACATATATCAACTGTTCCATATAACTTGCATATCTTTTTAGTTCCTTGTATTGAGCCTAGTCCACCTGACTGCTCTGCTATATGCAAAGCTAAACTTCTCAAAATGACATGTGAAGTTATGAAGATTAATGGGAAAGCTCTACCAGCTCCTTGTAATAACTGAGCACATTCCTTTTCATTCTGCTTAGTTTTGTGATTAAATTGTTTTTAAGTAGTGAATGAGTTAATTTTATACTTAAACAGTAGAGACTGGAAATAGTTTTTTATTATACCAGCATTAATATTATTTTTTGTCATGGGTTATTTTTAATAACTATTTTGTAACAAAGTGTCAGACAAGAAAAGAAACAGAAAGAGAGAAAGTCATAGTTACAGCTTTTGATTATAAAATCAACTAAGAGATAGTGAAGCAGGTACTAAATAAAAAGAAAGATCCTATTTAAACAGATAAGCTGTATTACTATATACTGCTGGTGGTAGGTGTACATGAATATACTTTAGGAGTACATGATGAAGCAGTGTTGAAGAATGCAAGCGTTGACAATACCAGTAATTGGTGACAATTAAAGAAATCATACCATTATCTATCATCATGTTACAAGCAGGGTTATAATACAGTATGTACTAACACACATATGTACCTGAACACAGTTTATATTACTAATGTCAGTATATTGTATTATATGGAGGTAAATCGATAAAGCTTAGGAATGATAATGAGTGGTAACACTGTGGTGGCTGCAATTAGTGAACATACATACAGTATTGTAACTGGAACTATGGAGAGTCTACACATCAAAGGCCCTTCACTGGTTTCTGTATATTACATACTTTGTGGCTTCTATGATGATATAAAAGCGGCAGACAGTAAGAGCTGAATTCATTGTAACAGAGAAGCAACTAAAATGGGATCGGTACTTCTAACAGGATTTATACTAGTAAGATACAATATATATTATAGTGTATGGTACTATCTTTACAGGTTATACTGAGTACATGTTATACAAATGGACTAGAGCTAACTGACTTGTACCCATATGGTACAGAACATGGGGACACCATGAGGACTGGATATAATAGTCTCCCTACAGTGCCATTACTGGCTCCAATTGATAATTTAGTTGCGTTTGGTCCAACTGGACTTACAGCAACAAGATATACAGTTAGTAGCTACACACGCACACACACACACACATTATTAGTGCTTTAGTTTGTAATGTAGTGCAATTGTACACTAACCATTATCCGTTCATTTTATTAGTAATACAATTTATTGATCATTTCTGAGTTTATAGCATTTATACTTATACTATCTATAGGTTAACTATGATGAGTACCTGCGATTGCATAATGATGGTAGTGATAGCATCTTATTAAATTTGCTCTACCTTGGTGATGGTGATTTTGACAATACTAAGATATATGGTAGGACTAGTGACGATCCAGCATTAATAAAAAGAGCAA